AACTCCTATCAGATTAATAGTCCCCCCCCCTGCAGATATATTAGAATCTGTCCTTAAATTACAGCCAAACCCATTTACACAGTAACAGATTAAAACCTTTAGATAAATCAAACATTACCGCCACATATCTGACTCTATAACCATTAAAACAACTATTTTCATTCATTTCAGACGGAACTATTCACAGACTGGATTATATTAAACTGAACTTCCAATTTTCACCACTGTTCTGCAGCAAGTAACATTTCCTCTGATCACGGAGCAAATCCCGATGATGAGACATTTGTTCTTTCAATCAACCGTTCCATTGTAGATGTAGCTTCATGTTTTGGATCATCTTTTTGTTGGAAGATAAATCTTCCCATTCTCTGGTCTTCTACAGACTCCAGCAAATTTTCTTCCAGGATGCTTCTGTATGTGGCTCCATCCATTTTCCCTTTCCCTGCTGAAGAAAAGCAGGCCTAGATCATGATGCTGCCACCTCCATGTTTCACAGTGGGGATGGTGTATTCAGGGTGATCCAATGTGTTGCTTTTATGCCCTACAAGTGCAATGAATTGCTCCTGTAGTGGTTTTTAATGAGCTGAATAAAGACAAATGCTGAGTATTTTTAAAGGAGAACATTTTGTTAAATATATTACACCAATTCCAACACTTAAATTGATTGCTTTATATCATAAAAGTGATTTGATAATGAATAGATCGTGCTCCAGAACAGCTAATCTATGTTGACTAAATAAAGCTGCTTTGCACATCCAGCATCCAGCAGGCTGAGGTAGTATAACAGCCCAAACAAAGTAAAAAAAACAAAACAAAAAAAAACTAAAAATCAATGCAGATCAATGCATTCTGTGGAGTTGTAGAAACTTAGACAGAGGCAGCCCTTGCAAGGAAGGACTCAGGTTTATTTTTACGTCTGCAGACGGAGAGACAGCACTCCTGTGAGTGAGCGGAGCTCTGACTGGGGTAGCTTCAGCCACCAAATATACATACAAACTCCCAACACACACTCCCAGGGAAACCATCCCCACCCCACCAAGAACATTTCCTGTTATGTTAATATATCTTTCACTGACCAGATGAAACATTTCACAACAGTTGTCTTCCTTTTCATGCCATGAGGGACTCTGAGGAAGCCTTAAGCACTTTTATCTTTCCTGGCCTTCATTTCAGCCCTATTAAGCTCAGGAAAGACATACTTTGATATTTCATTCCACAATTCCCTGAGCATTCTTGTGCGCTAGCAGTGCACTATTGCACAAGCGTGCAGCTGGGAGGGAACACTGGTTTTCACCATGTTGAGTTAAATAAAGTTGTAAAACAGCAAAACTTTGACCCGGCTCAGTCTGAAATTGACTCAGTCCAGCTTTGCTGGATGGAGCCAAACTACAGCAGCTTAGATGATGTTCTTAGATAAGTGATAGTTACTGGTTACCTTCCCTCTGTTCTAGAAAGCACCAGAAATTCTCTAGACTCAGTATTTCTGTTGACAGGAAGCTGCTGCAGGAAGTTATCCAGCTGTTGCTAATGGTTGATGCAGAGCTTTGCACTTTCATTTATTAAAGGTGTTTTCTAACCTTTTCCTCATGACTGATGCTACATAATTTAAGCTTTTCTCCTTCATCTCCCTGACTGGTTTACTATTAAATACCCGTTTGTCTTTTATTAATAAAGCAGCTGTTGTGTTGATTGGATCTGTGTGTCCTGCAGGTTCGTGTGTCCTGGTCCAGGTGTGTTCCAGTGCTCTGTGACAGATCTGGTGTTTGCTATGACTCAGGAGGCTGACCTGCAGTATAGGTCCATCCAATGGGACAGGAACCTCCTTCATCCAGCGGGCAGGATCCCTGCAGGGCCGCTGTACCATGTGAGATGTTCTAAGAAGGCCGTCTGTCGGATCCACCTCCCACACTGTGAAACACAGAGTGGTGAGTTACTGGAAAGGCAAACACCACTTTCTGTCCTGAACCCATTGAATTCTGGGAGGAGATGAAAGATCTTCATCTCACAATTTCTGACATCTGGGGTTTTTCTGCTTATTGCAGTCTGGTGTCAAATGTGTTGAAGTTTTTGATAATTTAGTCGAACTTAAATAAAACGTGAGTGACTCCTGTTGTTTTTTAAAAAAAAGGTTGAAATTATGATTATTTCAGGCTAAAGATGTAAAGGATGTCAGATAAATATTACTCCTTTAAAACCTGCTGGAGAAACATTTCTGTTAAAGATTGAATTCTGATTCCATGAAGAAGCAACATTTGTTTAGATTTCTGCCATTTCTGCATTAAACTACATGAAAACATGGAAAATATGAAACCAGATTATTCGTCTGTATCTTCAGTGTCGTCCATCAAAGGCCTGCTGTCTGTCGTTCACATTTCTAATGATGATGAGGATGGGATGAGCATCCTTCAGCCGATGAAGATCACTGCCTCTCATGTTATCGTGGAGGTCTCTGGTCTCTCTGCCTTTGGGCTGGTTTGGGATTACCTAAAGAGGTTCATGGAGAGAAAAGATCCGGTTTTAAGCCAAATCCTGCTGTACCTCGGACCAATGACCTCTAGAGCTCAGAACCAGAAGCTCTATGTGTTTCTGCTGCCCAGGAACATCCCAAAAGAAGAGGTGAGGATTCCTCTGATGCTGGATCTTCCAGCCAAGAAATGAGTGAAAGCTGAAGCTGGTAAAAGCAGAAAAACAGGAGCCATTGCAGCATGACTGTGGGTTTAAAAATTAGAAGCAATATTTATGGTTATTTAGCATATTATAAGAGCAATATTAGTATTTCCAAGTCATTTTTTTTTATCTATGACATTCATTCATTCATAAAAATCTTGCTTTGTTAAATAAATAGTTCGTTTGGAGATAAATATTTTTTTTAACAAACTAAATATTTAATTTGCAAACCAAATATTTATTTAACAAACTAAATATTTAAATTGCAAACCAAATATTTATTTAAAAAACTAAATATTTAATTTGCAAACTAAATATTTATTTTAAATTCAGTTCAGTTTATTTATATAGCAGCAATTCACATCATGTCATGTTAGGTCACTTTCCAGTTCACTAGATCAGCCAGTCAGATTGATTCAAAGTTTTCTACGTAAGGAAAACCAGTTGAATGCATCGACTCATTGACTCTTTAGCAATCCCTCACACTAAGCATGCTTGTAGCGACAGTGGAGAGGAAAAAACAGGATGGAGTCACAGCCTAACAGGAACAGACCAGATGAAGCTACTATGAGAAAAAGCAGAGAGAGCAGAACGTTAGAGATTGAACAAACAGATTCTGCGGAGTGGGAGAATAGAGATAGAATGAAGCAGAATGATGATATAGGAGTCCCTATGTCCTCCAGCAGTCTAAGCCTATAGCAGCATAACTATAGAGATAGCTCAGGATAACCTGAGCAACTCTAACTATAAGCTTTATCAAAAAGGAAAGTTTTAAGCCTAGCCTTAAAAGTAGACAGGGTGTCTGCCTCACGGACAAAAACTGGAGAGGAGCCTGATAACTAAAAGATCTGCCACCAATTCTATTTTTAGAAATTCTACAGTAAGAACAACTAGTAAACCTGCAGATTGAGAGCGAAGT